TTCGATGTTTGGTAGCAGATCAATCAGAGCATACATCGGGACGGAAGTCTCCGGAATACACTCGCCTCGTGCTCGTGGACGCCATCGCTAAAGAATCGCAGAAAAATGACGCGTTATGGAAAGAAGATAGGTCTTTATTTATCCTCTGTCATTATATTTTTTCCCTGTTTGACTCTGATAAACCAATAAATGAGGCACCTCCTGATCTATCAGAGGATAATCTTCCACCATTGGATGAAGACAAATCTGCAAGTCCTATCGCGAAAGCTGCTGAAGCATATTTTCTGTTGGCGCGTGCTAATTTGAACAGGAAACGTGGTATTAAAGTATCCAAGGCTAAGAGTGCCAACGGAGATTCCTATGAATTCTTTAAAAATGCAGAAACACTTTACAACAAGGCGTTGGCGTTGGCTAAAGAGTTGTTAGGTGACCACGAATTCACATGCCGTCTGCACCTACAGTTAGGAGACCTCTATTTAGTAATGCACGATAACACAAAGGCAATAATGTGCTTTACCGATTACATAATTCGGCGCAAGAATCTGGAACTTTATTTTAACGAAACCTTCGTGTATTTTCTCAAGAAATGTGGAATCTGTCTGGCTTATCTTCGTAATTTTAATGCATCCGTGACAACGTTAAAGGAGGCTCGTGACCTAGCTGGAGAGCAAACGCGTTGTAGAGCATTTTTAATTTATGAGCTAGCAAAAACCTATAATATGTGGAAACCTGGCTGCTGTGAAGCGGTGGAATTTGCTAACGAAGCATTGGAGATGCAAGAATTACGGAAAAGCGAGAAAATGGTAAAAACATTAGAGAGGATTCTTCAAATTGCCGAAAAAAATACGGCGTCATTATTGGCGGATGGAAACAATTAGTGATAACATATAAGTACGATGAGAATCAAGTTGATGGTAACCCGGCGAATGCATTAGACTTGACCTTTTTAGTATATTTCTGATGTTCATGCCAATTCAGGACATATCGCAGTGCATTTTAGCCTGAATGAACAAGAGAAAACACTACACTATATAGTAAACATTATATATTCAGTATGAAGAAATGCCTGGCCTGAATGAACAAGAGAAAACACTACACTATGCAGGGTGTATCAGAAAAAACTAGAAGATTTTAAACTGTCCAGAAAACTATCATTTTATCAAAATATCTCAAAAATATATTTACGTCTAAGTATTTTAGCATCTCCTGTCTTATCTAACAGTAAAAACTATCAGAAAAATTAACCTAAAAAAGCGGGAAAACGGTTTGTAAAAGCCTCATTTTTAACCGCTTGCGCAAAGAAAATGAGAGGTTCAAAATCCAAGTTCATTTAAAGAGATGAAAGTTTGGACCCTTTTGTGCAATGTATCAAAATTTCAGAAAATTTGATAAGTCCGCCGTGAAACGTTTCAAAATTGGACTTTTTCCGTTTACTCCGCTCTCGCGTAACCTTTTTTCATGCAAGAATGATTACATGCAGGAGTGATGGTTCGAATGACGTACTTAAACATAACTAACAATGAATACTCTTGTTTCATTGTTTTATTTAACAAAGAGTTCTGTTAATTACACCTGGATAATGCAAAAGATATCCTGTTTAGGAATTGCTAGCTTATTTTTCATATCAAACATTAAAAACAATGCAAAGGCCGCAGTTTGAACCACAGCAAAGGCTTTTTTGGTAACTGAATACCACCGTAGTCATGGGAGCGTAACAAGAGTGCTCGAAAGGTTTCGGGAGGAGTATCCTGACGTACGCTGTCCATCACATGGTACAGTTTACAACAATGTTGCTAAATACCGTACAAACGGGACAAGCTGTAATCTCAACCGGGGAAGATCAGGACGTCGAAGAACTGCGAGGTCTCAAGAAAACATTGCAGCTGTGCGAAATGCGATTGAAAATCAGCAGCTAAATGGAGCGAGAATTAGCGCTCGGCGAAATGGTCTTGGTTTATCTTCGGCCACCTTTAATCGTATAACACGGCTGGACTTACGATTTCACCCATACCAGATGATACGACGACATCAACTGCTTGCAGGAGATTACCAGCGGCGAGAAAGGTTTTGCCAGTGGCTTATGAACAGACCAGCACAATTTCTTCAGGACGTACTCATTGGTGACGAAGCTGGATTTGCCTTAAATGCCTCTGTTAACACCCATAATATCAGAGAGTACTGCGCTCGTGGTGAACGACCGTTGCACTTTCAGTATGAGCGAAATGATGACCGTCACAAGGTTACTGTTTGGGTCGGATTGATGGCAGGTTCCAGCGCCTTTGGTGGATACAAGACGGAGCACCACCTCATCGGAGACGCATTGTTTCCGAGCGCTTGGAACAATTATTTGGAAACCGATTTATTACTTTAAATCGTGCGGTAGAATGGCCACCGCGATCTCCCGATTTGACTCATTTGGATTTTTTCCTTTGGAGCTACCTAAAGTCGAAGATTTATGTCACACCACCGGCAAACTTGGAAGACCTTGAAGCAAGAATTCAACATGAGATGGATATCCTAAGACAGGACAGGCAAATGGTTCGGCGTGCTGTTTTCAGTATGATATTAGTAGGGCAGAAATTTGCGTGCAAAGAAATGGAGGACATGTTGAGAACTAACAACAAATTTTGTAAACTCTAGCTGCTCTTGTTTGCAATTGTGTACTTTTTGACGTTTTTGTGTAGTTTATTTTTAATAATAGCATTATTAGATACAACATCAATGTAAGGTATAACAATAGCATTGTAAGTACGTCATTCGAACCATCACTCATGCATGTAATCATTCTTGCATGAAAAAAGGTTACGCGAGAGCGGAGTAAACGAAAAAAAGTCCAATTTTGAAACGTTTCACGGCAGACTTAATGTTTATCAAATTTTCTGAAATTTTAATACATTGCACAAAAGAGTCCAAACTTTCATCTCTTTAAATGAACTTGGATTTTGAACCTCTCATTTTCTTTGCGCAAGCGGTTAAAAATGAGGCTTTTACAAACCGTTTTCCCGCTTTTTTAGGTGAATTTTTCTGATAGTTTTTACTGTTAGATAAGCCAGGAAATGCTAAAATACTTAGACGTAAATATATTTTTGAGATATTTTGATAAAATGATAGTTTTCTGGACATTTTAAAATCTTCTAGTTTTTTCTGATACACCCTGTATAGTAAGCAATATACATTCAGTATGAAGAAATTCCTGGCCTGAATGAACAAGAGAAAACACTACACTATTAGTAAACATTATATATTCAGTATGAAGAAATGCGCACTAGTTTTTCACTATTTTATCCATGGGTTTACTTTAAGATTGGATTCGAAGCTATTACACTTAGGGGACTGCTCAGTCTGATGGGAAACTCATATGCTGTATATATGGCATGTTTCCTATATCACTTGTAATGAGTTGAAAGACCCACATGCAATATAAAATATGTATACTTGTCGATGATATTTGAATATTTCCATGCTTTGTAATTAGGTACTGTATATTTTTCTAGAACTGTATGTAAACCATATTTCAATACGATTCCCATGCTAACTTGTCGATCATTTTTGTCGTTTCATTCAAGACCCAGCCGGCGGCGATAGTTTACTTCAGCGCTCAAGAAGGCGCTTTAAAAATAACTTAGCTGAAACATAAACCTTGGATTTTTTTATATTTTTTTTAAATTTCCAAGAAATTTCGTGATCCAGATCTTTAAGCAGCCTGGATTCTTGAATCAATAAACGAAACGTCTCAATATTGTCGCCGTTCCGGTATTTATGCCTTACACCTAAAAACTCCGAGACTGCGGTTTATCAGCATGGAGCAATGTTGTGCTGCCATTATTGTTCACACTTATCAACAACATTAAACAATATTGTTGAAAATGAATCAGGTTTAGTTGTTTAAACGTTGTTTAAACGTTGGCCGAACGTTGGCGCCAAACGTTGGCTGAAAGTTGCATTAACGTCGCCGGACATTAATTAGGTTATATGAACATCGAGTTGAACGTTGTACGGACGTTGTATTAACGTCGCGCTGTAACGTTAATCCTAACGTTAATACCACGTTCCTACGAGTTCACAAAAAAACGTTTACCCAACGTTAATAAATAACGTTATTCAAACGTTCGACGAACGTTAATACAACGTTCATACAACGTGATTGTGCTAGCTGGGATATGGGATTATAGCAAAACTATATGGAATTTGCTGAATGTGCTTTCCGCCGTTTTTTATTTTATTTACATGAACATTGTGTTGCGTTTATTCTCGTTCACGTTTACATGCAAATATTTATGGGCGACTGCATGTTTGAATGTTGCTGTATAGCCTTTCATAGAGTAATGAATAAAGACTCTTGAAATTGAAATCGTTTAAAAGGTGGTTTGATACATAAAACGATCATGTGTTATCTCGAGGAAGTCCCAAATAAACCGCTCCAAATCAATAATTTGCGTAACAGTTTGCATTGCCGAGAAAGCAAGCCTATAAAAGCGCACAAAAAAACATAAAATTCCTAGCTGCGTGACATAGTCACTACGCGTAACGAGGATCCTACTTATTGCTAACGTCATTAATTTTATAAAACAGCGCCATGTTATCAAATTATCTGGTGACCTATGCTGAAATTTTGCTAAAATCTTTTATTTACCTAAAGCCTGAAAAAATATGCAAAAAATGCCAAAATGTTTTATTGAGAAGGCAACATCTTCGCATTTTTTTAGACTTGTGTCCATAGTCCGTAATCCGTACTCCTTAATCCGTAGTCCGTAATCCGTAGTTTGTAATCTCATGTCCTTAATCCGTAGTCCGCTACCAGTGTTTTCTACCATGCCAGATTGGAGGGACAAATGATTTCAATTTTATATTTCCTGTCCCTCCAAACAGGCCATAGATGCTTTGCGGTTCCCGACTAAACCCAGTACCCTGCTGGATTGGGAAATGGCTAATTAGTATGAAACCTATATGGCTATAAATCACAAAACTCCTTATTCTTTGCATTAATTCGGACTCGAAGATGTGATTTTCATTCAATCTTCAACAATTACAATCAATAACAAATTCTTTAAGGGATTAAAAAATCGGTTATATGGGATGTCTTTGGGCTTCCGCATAAAAGCAAACGACGTATTTGGTGAGTATTTGGTATATTAATTAATGACCAGTATTAGCAATATAAACAACGTACAAAATGTGACTATAATGGATGGCGTGCCGATATTGAAAAACTCGTGTTGTGTAGAGTCATTTTAAAGCATATTTTGTCGATTTGAATGAATGATTCCTGCGCTTTATTACGTTGGCCTCGAAATCGCGCGTAAGCCTCCTTTATAAACAATACCTCGGATATTTTGTACCCGGTCGCTACGTTTTATGTCGTTGAATACAAAATCAATTTGCTACTACATGAATTCGTGCAGTTTGTCTTGTTAATCTACATATACATTCAGTGAGACGTATAGATAAGGAATTCGGGGAATTTGAGAAATACCTATTGTAACACGATAACTAGCACCACATGAAAGTAAATTAAGGGCTGATTTTCACTGTCGCGTGCTTTGTACGTACGTATATGCACGTAGAAGTTTAAAATCATTTAAATGCTACTTAGGGCTGCATTCCACTGTCGCGTTTTTCACACGTACGTACACGCACGTTAATGAAAATCGTCTTGTAAATGTTGTTGCAAATTTAATTTTATGCTAGGATAAACACATCAAATCATGAACAGAATATTCAATCGTTGATTTCACAAGTATCAATTAAGTGATTTTAAACGTTTACGTGTGTATAGACGTATACAAAAAACGCGACAGTGCAAAACAGCCCTCATGAAATCAACGAGGGAATAGAATGATAGTGTTGGATTCTGTTGATGTACTTACACAAAAGCGCATCACATCAAAGGCTTAACCTGTCATTATGATTTTATGCAGTTTTCATCTCACCTAGCCGTGATAACTGCCCCTGAGTTGTTGTATGATTAATTTTATTCCCGAAAAAAGGCACCAAATCATCAAACAAAATCCAACCCTATATGCATTTATTCAATCATTGATTTCATAAGAATCATTTAAATGATAAATAAATAAAAAAATAAAAATAAAATAAATATATAAAATAAATAAATAAACTTTTACGTGCGTGTATTAGTCATTTCCGAATCGAGCAGGGTACTGGGTCTAGTCGCGCACCGCAAAGCATCTATGGACTGTTTGGAGGGACAGGAAATTTGAGTCTGAAATCATTGTCCCGCCAAACAGTCGATAGATACTTTGCGGTTTGCGACTAGACCCAGTACCTTGCTCGATTGGGAAATGGCTAATACGTACGTGCAAAAAACGCTTATAAAATACTTAAAAGTTTATTCTGTCCCATGTTTGCGCGTCACGAAATCGTACCACTACACGCTACGATCAAAATACAATCTCATGAAATATATAAAAAGGCCAGCTCTAGCGTGTGGCAGTCTTTTTATACATATACAATCGTTATCATTAAGGTTGTCCATGTTAATATATATACAAATATATAAATATCAATCACGTGACCATTACACATGGGTTATTTCGTTCACTTTTAAAGAACAAGAGTTCTTTATTGATAAAGAACAATGCAAACAAATGCGAGATGAAAACTGCATAAAATTATAATGTAAGACTAACCAGGTTAAGCCTTTCTTGTGTGCGCGTTTTACCTCGCCTAGCCAGGATAACTCGCTCGTTTTTCCGTAACAGACAACAAACCTCTTGCTCTTTTTCGAATGGGTCTGTGTTTGATCTGGGCTCTACAAATGACCACAGTTATTAGAATATACATGCATGGTTTGGAGACTAGATGGAAGTACAATACAACACTATTTATTGTCCAGGTTTATGCAAAAAATGGTTCCTTATCCCTCACATGTCTATTGTATTTTTGCCCAACTAACCAATAGCAAAGGCTTGGCTTAGCTCCTCAACCGTGACTTGAACAACATGTTAATTCAGATCTTACTATTGGTTTATTTGTTCAAAATACAATAGACACGTGACGAATAAGGAACAATTTTTTGCATAAATGTTCCCCGACAATGAGTTTTATTGTACTTTTAGTCTTATGTAGTTTCTAAACCATGTATATTCCATAACTGTGACTGAAATGACGGAGGAGTAAATCGCTACAATCATCCCTTGATAATTCGTATCAGGACAGGTTCTTTATGTCGTTTCTAACAGTCTGAACTTTGAAGAATAGTTATAAACGAGGGTTACGTATAATAAGCATTTTGAAACATTCAATTTTCACGTTTTGACTAAACTATTATAGTCATCATCAGGTAAACTGCATGAGTCTGAGAAGTTTGGATGAATTTGAGAACATTAAATTTGATGTGTCCACGTATGAATAAGGTTGTTACAAATCCCCCAAAATTTGTTCCCTAAAATAACTTGCCGAAATAGGAAAATAATATGTTTTAATAATGTTATCTAGAAAAACAACCTTAGAGAGTTTTTCTTAGTATCGAATCCGTTGATTCGCTAAAAAGGAGCAACAAATTCAGTCGGCTTCATCAGCTTGTTTTCATGAAGGAGCGAACCTGAACGGATGACCTATATTACGTTGCTACAGCTAATTTAGTTGAACATCTTTGCATCAAATTCCATCCTCGTCTGGGATATTGTTTAATTGCTTTTTTTCACAGTCAATGAACACCAAAAATATTAGCATAGCGGGACAAATCATCAGGCTGACTACTCTACTCATGCAATTTCGTGCTACGTCATGTATCATTATTATTTATATAATAACGTTAAGAATTCAAGAAATTTCATTGGTCGAGATAATATCTATAATCTGTAAGAGGACAGACCACAGACGCACGGAATGACCTCACAGATAATTTTAACGAATTTAATCAGTAATCTCTTGCTTCATTTTGTTAGCTAATCACATTTTAGCATGTGTCTTAGCTCTTAAGCTAGCCATGCAATAGCATTTCTTCAATCTTATAGATCACGCCTGATATCTGCAAAATTTCTACTTTGACACTTTTCCAAGTGTTGGGGAAACTATTTGACTGTTTAATTTCGGAATTTTTTCGATTTCATTATATAACACAAATAGATAACACTGAATTTGTGATAAGAACAATAGTGGTCACGAGCCGCCGTTTTAATTCAAGAATGCAGAGCGGAAACAGATATTGTTTATTTGCGAAGAATAATGAAGAATTTCTTTCAACTAAAATAAACTTGCATGTAGTATAAAATTAATGATAAAAGATACCCTTTATTATCTTTGACTTTGTTTACTGATTTTCTCACAATTTAGTTTCTACATTTTTTTATTTTCTTTCAAGAATTTTATTCAAATGAATTCGTCAAAAAAACACAACAACTGGCTAACCGTTGGAGAAATAATCCGATTGATTAAGGGACCCGTCGCATTATACACCAGCAATATCATAGAAAAATGGCATGCAAAGCTGTGTGGTTCTTTGCCAGGCAAATGCTTAAACCCTGGAGATTGTGAAAAGAAAAAGAAACCGCGTGACCTGTGTTCCTCTTGCAAGCAATGGTACGACGAGCTTGCCAAATCCCACCGGAGAAACGATAAAGGGCAATTTAAAAGCATGTGGCGCCAAAACTGCGACACATCAAAGTGGCCGAATGATCCTTGGGAGGTTGCCAAGTTCTTTATGCCCAGCCTTGGGGACAACAAAAAAAACGTTGAAGACGCCGAATCCACTGATTTATCATCTCTTCTGAACGTCCTTGCATGGACGGAAGATGCGGTCTTTGCCCCAGACAAACGTGTTGATCGTAACCTCGTTGAGGACCTTCGTTCAAAGGTTAGAAACCCTTGGGCGCATGAACCTAATCAAAACCTAGACGAATCCACTCTTAACGATGCTTTTTGTATTGCTGATAAATTTGTTGCCGACCTCGACATGGTTTTCAGTCGTGAAGAAGTCAAGAATTGTATAGAGGATATCAAAGCTTTGAGAGAAAACAGACAAACCAAAGTCACAGAAAACGAGTTGAAGAATCTGAATTTGCGTGAGTTACGTGGAGACGACAGTCAGAAAAAAGGAGAGATGGAAAGTTTGAAAGAAGAATTAAAGAGTTTAAACGATAACGAAAGTCCTAATTTACAGGTTATCAAGGAACAAGAGGAAAAAATTAAAAAATTGGAGAAGGACTATAGGTCATTACAAGATCTCATGAAATCATTACAAGATACGGACAACGTTGAAGGAGCGAATCAACCGTGCCAACTAAAGAGCTGTATTCCTGACAAACCAGAAATTTTCATTGGTCGCGACGCTGTTGTAAAGGAATTAATATCTTCTTTGGTAGATAATGGCTGTGGAATTGTGTGTATCGTTGGTGGACCAGGTTTTGGAAAGAGCACCGTTGCAAAAGAAGTTTCCCATAATTTAAGCACAAACCATGATATTATCGTAATTTTCTCATATTTGCAAAATATGTCAGCTGTATCCGATGTGACACGATGTCTCTGCCATGACGTCGGCGTTACCCCCGGACAAGATCCTGAATCATCGTTGATGTCGTGGTTGAGGGATATTGAGCAGAAGGTCGTCCTTGTCATGGACAACATCGAGCAGCTGCTGGAAAGCGGCGATAAATCCCAGTTTATTGAATTAGTGCTTACTCTACGCAAAAATTCACAGCAACGTGTGCAGATACTAGCAACGACAAGAACCGAATTTTTAATTCCTGGACAAAAATCCGTAAACCATCAAATAAAAGAATTGGATGAAAAATCAAGTGTCGAACTTTTAAAAGAGTGTTGCCAAAATGATGAAATTGAAGACACGTACTTTTCTGAGTTGGCTAAACTGTGTGGCTTCCTTCCTCTCGCTTTGTGTCTCGCAGGAAAACGAATTCAAGATCTTAATGACCCTATGAAGTTAACAAAATGGTTACGAAAGAAGCCCATGAAAACGTTGAAGCCTGTTCAACAAGCCTTTGAGTTTTCTTTTCAGATGTTGAATGGTGAAGATAAAAAAGCTTTGTCTTTCAGTATTTGATGGAAATTTCCAAATGAAATCTGCAAAGAAGATAATTGGTCGAATTGGTTTGGAAACCATCGATTTTTTGAAAGATCTTGTTGGTCGAAGTTTAATACAAAATACCAGTGATAAGCGATTTGTGATCCATTCGCTCATCCGGCGGTTCCTGTCTGATAATGTGCAGTTTTATGATGAAAAGGCAGTGGCTCAAGGATTTATGGTGAGTCATTTCCTGAAGATGTGCCATTCATTGACCTTAAAGTGTTATTCATATAACGGATTCACTGGCGCCAGAGAATTATTAAAAAAAGACATCCACAATGTCAAGGAAACGTTAGAAATTTGCAGCCAAGATTGGGCCAGCAATCAAAACCCGAACATCACCAAGTCCTTGGCAAATAGTGACATCTACCTGTCTTCGTGCACGTTCTTTTACAACTTCAGTCGGGATCTTCTTCCAAGTAGAATTTTCAAGAATTTCTTCGAATCTTGCATTGAATTTGCCCAAAGTCGGAATCAACCTGTCATCATGGTAATATTTCAATTTTTGATGGCAGATCAAGAAGCTCGTAAGTCTTCATGGGAATCTCCAGAATATACCACAAGAATTGAAAGTGTTACGGAGCCTTTTTTTAAGAATAAAGCGCTGCTGAAAGAATATCGATCTCAATATATGTTTTGCTACCATTTACTTGCCCGATATTACATTAAAACACAAGATAGCCGACTTTCCGGTCTAACGGAAGATGATCTCCCTCCGTTGCCTGAAAACACAGAACTGAGCTCTATGGAGAAATCGTCCGGGGCTCAAATTCTCATGAAGCGTGGAAATTTAAGCAAAATGCGAGCAGATAAAACACCGAAAGAAGATCATGAAACGAAGAATAAATACAGGAGCGTTGCAGAATCTTGTTACAATCAAGCTTTATCTCTTGCCAAGGAGGTTTTGGGAGATCACCAATTAACCTGCACTCTCCATAAGCTTATAGGAGACCTATGTTTTAAGAACGACAGAGCAGTGACACATTATACTGATGCCATAAATCTGCACAGGAAACTGAAATTTGATTCTAACGAGAAATTTGTGATATTGCTCAAGAATCTCGGAGCGTCCCTGGCGTATAATGGTCGCTACGAAAAATCAGTGGAAACGCTAAAGGAAGCTCTTATTATAGCTGAGAAACTCGTTGAGAGAAACACTCCATGCAGAGCCCAGGTGTGTTGCGAGTTAGCTAGAACTTACAGAGACTTTAAACTTGATTGCCAAGAAGCTGCAATACATGCCAAAGAGGCGATGAAGATGCAGAAGTTTCTCCACTTTCAGGACAGAAAAAGGTTGGAAAATATCATAAAATCGGCAGAGGAATATACTGTGGTGCTAAAGATTATCGAGCCGTTTAAAGATAAAGTCGATGTTCATGTAAGGACTCGAATAGAAAGCTGTATACCCAAAAAACCACAAACATTTCTTGGCCGAGACGCTGAAGTCGACCAAATAAAAACTTCCTTGATGAAGAATAACTGCGGAATTGTCTCCATTGTCGCTGAACCAGGTTTTGGCAAGAGCACGGTTGCCATTGAAGTCTCTCATCACATAAGCCAAAGTACTGTCGTCATTTATTCGTTCCTGTCAAATACTTCAACTGTTTCTGAGGTGATCGTACGTCTCTGTCATGACGTTGGCATTGTTCCTGGAGAAGACCCTGAATCATCGTTATTGTCTTGGTTGAAAAGCATTGAAAAGAAAGTTGTTCTTGTTATGGATAACGTCGAGCAGCTGCTTGGAAGCGATGTGAAACCTCAGTTCATTGAGTTACTGCTTACGCTGCGCAAAAAATCACCCGAATATTTGCAGATCCTAACAACATCCAGAACAGAATTCCAAATCCCTGGGCAAACCGTAGTAAACCACCAACTACAAGTGTTGGATGTCAAATCTAGTATTGAACTTTTGAGAAAGTGTTGCGCTGATGAAAAAATTGAAGATATACGTTTGTCTGAATTGGCTAACCTGTGTGGCTTTGTTCCTCTCGCCCTGTGTGTGGCAGGAACACTGATTCCTAACCTCGATGATCCTTCAGAGTTGGTACAGTGGTTAAGAGAGAATCCTATGGAAGCATCGAGCGACTCCAAACAGTGTGTTCTTCAAAAAGTCATCGAGTTCTCGTTTCAGAAGTTAAGTGATGACGATAAGAAAGCGTTGGTTTGTCTTTCGGTGTTTGATGGGAATTTTGAGACAATTCATGCAAAAAAGGTAATTGAAAGAAGTACTAAGTTAGAAACCCTCGAATTTTTGAAAAATCTAGTTTGTCGAGGTTTAATACAAGGTACTGATGATACGAACTTTGTGATTCATCCCTTCGTCAGACGGTTCTTGGCTGATCATGACCACTTTCAATTTGAAAAGGCAATAGCTCAGGGATTGATGGTGAAACATTTTCTAACGATGTGCCATTCGTTAACCATGGATTATTATTCACACAACGGATTTACTAAAGCCAGAGAATCGCTGAAAAGGAACATTCACAATGTTGAGAAAACGTTAAAAATCTGTACCCAAGATCAGACCACCATGTTGAAACCAAACATCCTCGAACTGTTGGCAAGTAGTGAGATTTACAAGTCTTCATCCAGCTTTTTTACTACTTCAGCTTGGACTTTGTCTCACCAACGGTTTTAAGAAATTTCTTTGAGTCTTGTATTAAACTAGCTGAAAGCCGGGAACAACCAGCGATTGAGATCACATTCCATTGTCTGCTAGCAGAACAAGAGGGTCGTAAATCAGCGCGGAAATCTGCTGAATACATCGAGAGAGAGAAAAGAATAAAGGCAGCATTTCAGGAGAATAAAGACGTTTTGAAAGACGAGAAGTCTTTAGACATGTTTTGTAACTATTTCTTAGCTGACTCTGACATCGGCAGAACAATAAATGCACGCTGTTCTGATCTTCTAAAAGATCATCCTCTGCATTCACCTGATAGCAAAGAACCAAGTAATATCGAGAAAGTGGCCAAGGCGCATATGCTGATAAACCTTGGAAAGCTGAAAAAGAGCCGTGCTAAGAAAGCGTCTGACCACAAAGACGAAGAAGGATACCAGGAACACATGAACTGCGCGGAATTATATTACAGCGCAGCTTTGTCGTTGGCCAAAGGGCTTTTGGGCCAGCACAAACTTACAAGCAAGCTCTATACATTATTAGGAGACTTATATTTAATTTGGAATAGGAATGAAGAAGCACTTACGTATTACAAGAATGCGATAAGTTTACGGAAAGAACTGAATCTTGTTTCGGATGAGATGTTTGTGTTCTTGGTCAAGAATTGTGGGGCTTGCCTTGCGTCTCTTTGTCGCTTTGATGAATCAATTAAAACGCTGCTGGAAGCACGTGACCTAGCTGGCAAGCTCGCTGAAAAACACTCTACTTGTAGAACCTCAGTGCATTTCAAATTAGCAAACACATGTCGCCAATGGCAACCTTGTAAATTTGCAAAACAATGAGTCAATGTTTTATTTTTAGTTCACTCAATTGCAATTGAGGAATTAATAAAGCATTTAGTACTCATGGTTAGTTCGAAGAGTCCATCTTTCAATGTTTTCCACTACGTTTGCTCTGTGCAGCCTGGTACTGTATGTGGTATTCAAAATTGCTTTAATTCGACCCTGGACTTTCAAAAGTGTCAATCCTAAAAAAAAACCTATATTCGCTGATAAAAACGTTTAACAAAGTGCTCAATGAAAAACTTTATTTCAATTGTGGGATTCTACTTAGTCATCCTTACTGGCAACGCTTCAGACTGGTGTAACATAAGCCTGAAGAAGGACTGTCCGACATGTACTGTGTATAATCTAATCCATTAGGGTTATAGTATTTGGGTAGGAGTTATTATATTCAAAAATTCTGAGCATGGATTATTACCAAGGATTTTTCCTGCTAAAACCTTGGTTGGTAGATTATAATAAACATACTTGCAGGGAGGTGAGCCCGTTTTAGAGAGTTTTAGTGGTTAGAACGATTGAATTATTGAAGATTAGCATCCATTAAACACTGAGTTTCGCTGTTAAATTGCTTCTATTTTTTCTAATGCTTCATGTTTTTAAAAAATCAAATGTCATTTACATCTGGATTGAAAAGAACCGGCTCCATTTGAATAAGCGACTATCGAATTATGATGCCATAGTAAACCGCCATATTGCCAACCGTGTTATTGCGTAGTGGTAGCCGCTTCTTAAAGAAAATCAGTAAACTCATTCATTTAAAAGTTAAACAGGCTAGAAAATGACGACAAAGAAAATTTGGATATCCAATATTGCCAATATGATGTCTACTAGGAGTGTTTATTTGTGATACGAATTACGAGACGCTTTTGCAATGACAAAACGCAGAGGTAAATGAGCAACGTGAAAATACACCTTCAGCGGTTGAAAACGTGAACCGCAAAGGTCAAACGGCAAAATTTGAACCTCAAACCGTGGCTCGCGGTTAAAGAAAAAGCGTCAAAATAGAGCTCTCAATTTAACGCACCGAGGGAGTCTGGAAGTTTCCCGCCTCTCGAGGTGCGTTAATCACAGACTCACCAAACCTGCAATTATGTTTAGTTTTAATCTCATGCCTTTTCGGGAAAAAGTGTTCAGAAAGTTACGCATTAGCCTGCGTGCAGTAGAGTATGAGATAACTAAATACATTAGTCAAGTATTTATTAACATAAATTTGTTTTCCATTTTCAAAAAAAAGAAATCAAAGCCCACTCTATAACGATGTTTAATTTTTCGGTAACTTCACCAACCCTTCTGGAACAAATTTCCAAATGGATTTTGAAAAGCCAAAAATAAAATTGGAGGGAAGGTTGTGGAAGAATTGTGGAAGCACTTAAATTTAGAGAAGTTAGGAGATTTTTGGAGATTTTGAACTGAATCAATGAATCTCTAAAGTGGTTTGTTTAATTTAGATTATCAGTTCCTTTTCATTTAATTTACAATATCGGCTCAAAATTCGATCAATGAATTGTTTCTTCTATTCTGCGTTTGGTAAGTGTTTTCATTTATATTATATCTAAGTCATTCAACTTCTAAAACTCGTGCAAAGTCAATTAACCACTCTTCACTAATATTACACTACAATGTGAGTTGTGTAACCAAAAATGTGACCAAGACATTACAACTTGTAAACACTAAACACTATAATGAGTTCAATATTAGATTATGAATTAGATTTGAATTATGAATGTAACATTTCATGTGTCTGAAGATGATTCTAAAATCTGATATACTGATATAGAATTAAACCACTACTGTAAATTAAGTGAATTTCAATATGACAGTCAAGATGTAAAAAATGTGCAATCTCATCCTGAACTTTATCTAAAAAACTTTCGGAATTACTGGAAGGTGTACTAGAAGTACTTCATGTTGAAATGGAATTTGTCAGAGTCATTTAGTGCTATGCATTATAAGTCTTGAAGTTGAACTTCTTTTGGTAAACATGTATACATATTATGTAAGTACTGGAATGGATTTCGTAAGGTCGGGTAAGCATTACTAGTATTGCAGTGAGATTTTGCTAAGGGTAAGGATAAACAATAACATATATTTAAGTGGAGTTCCCCAGAGTTAAGCATATGGTTCTGGTATATATAGTAGGGGAAAGCATGTGCTCATATAGAAGGGGTAGGCATATGTTACATTAGAACATCACAAGGTAAAACTAAATGAAGTGGCCTTTATTATTATTATTATGTGAATCCTTCCAGAGGATTAATTAGCATTTCAGTGATCAAACAAAACTGCTATCAAAATAAATGTGTTATGTGCACTTTATCTATATATGTACATACATGTATAAATATAATTTAAGAAAGGCAAATATTGAAAATCATCGCTTAGAATGTTCACTCAACGAGCTTCGAAACTTACAATAGTTTTACTCGCATCTTCTTTCAATAGGCAAATAATGATAGGTTTTTGCATTATACAAAATTAAATGATTGCCTGGCAAGTTCCAATATCACTTTTGGAATACTCACTGGAAATATTTCTGGTGTGGTGTTATGTTCATTATGACCTCTAAAGTAATCAGGAAAATTTGTACAATTTTGTTTGTGCAATCTCTATCCAAGTTCATTGAGTGCTGGAATTTATTTTTCAATGTAGAGGAGTATATGTTAATGAGTTTATCAACTGTGCACGTGGCTCTAATATAAACATGCATGCATGAAAGCAATAAACATTTATTTGATGTATATCTATAGAGCGCCAGCGGTAATCTCATTTGTTTGACAACTCTTCACAATTCTTCACTATAATACACTACAATGTAAGTTATGAGACCAAAAATGTGACCTTGTAAACTTGTAAACACTAAACACCATAATGAGTTCAATATAAGATTATGAATTAGATTTAAATTATGAATTTAATATTTCATATCTCTGAGGATGGTTCTGAAATCTGATATAGAATTAAACACTACTGTCAATTAAGTGAATTTCAATATGACTGTCAAGATGTAAAAAGTGTGCAATTTCATCCTGATTTTATTTAAAACTTCGAAAATACAGCAGGTGTACTAAAAATACTTCACGCTGGAACATGTTTGAACCTCTTTTGGTAAACATATATATACATATTATACTTACTGACTGGTACATGGATTTCTTAAGGGTGTGTGAGCATTTAATACTAGTATTGCATTGAGATTTTCTAAGGGTAAGCATAACATATATTTAAGTGGAGTTTCCCAGAGTTATATAGTAGGGGAAGCATATGCTGGAGTGGGACATCTCAAGGATAAACATATTGAAAGAAATCCTCCAGATAGGGTCATATGAGATGAAACTTCTCTCAAGTATGCATACTAGAGTGGATTTTTCAAGGATAAGCATATGGTATGTTGTACCATTTAAAGTCTGAATCTTTCCAGGGGATTAATTAGCATTTCAGTGATCAAACAAAACTGCTAACAAAATCAATGTTTCCTTTATCTATGTATGTATAAATATAATTTAAGAAAGACAAATATTGAAAATTGTCACTTAGAACGTTCACTTTGAAACGAGCTTAGAAACTTACATTAGTTTTACTCACATCTTCTTTGAATTGGCAAATACATTTTTTGCTTCATACGAAATTAAACAACTGCCTGGCAAGTTCCAATATCACATTTGAATACTCATGCACTGGAGAATTTATTTCTGGTGTGGTGTCTATTTTTTTTTATCTGAGCATTTCCTCCATGTTTGTGCAATCTCTATCCAAGTTCGTTGAGTGCCAGAATTTAGACAAAAGGGTCAGACATGCTATTATATGATTTCTTATAGTTATCAAATTTTTCCGCATTATTAGATTCAGATTCTATTTGTAAAGTAAATATAGTGTTTCTGTTAGTTCTTCAATGTTCCAAATAACATAACATTTTCTTCCTTGAATGTTAAAAAAAGATTAATGACCAATTTATTCTTGTCAAAGTTATTTTAATACGAACGACACTTTCCAGCTTCACTGAAATATTATTCCAAATTACGGAATAATTAATTGGCATACACAAAAAGCTGACTCTGACATGATCAACAAAGTTTTTGAAAATATATAAAAAACGGTGACGGTCTCAATAGAGCCTTATGGACACCCCGCTACACACTGATGTTAAATTTACTCGATCACAGATAAACCACTTGAAGCAAATAATCAACTTTCCCATATGGCGGGAGTTTACTAAACCAAGTGCTGTGACTAACGCCTGTATTCAAAAAGCACACTCACACTCATTGAGTGTGACATTGAAATTTTATTACTAGCCTCGTTTTCGCGTAACTCGATAGTATTTTTGAATAGCTTTTTTAAAGTGCATATGACATTACCATTTTTTCACCAAAAATTCGCAAAAGTCGGGCGATTTGATTGATATGTATCATTCCCCGGTCGGATAAATATAAACAACCATGTAATTATTTACTACTTTACTTCTTGGCTTACTAGTTATTTTGTCATAAAAGTTGCGTAAAAGTAAAATAGTTGTTATTGCCAAGTAGAATATTGTTAAATTTGTTTGTGAAGTAAAAGATTTTTTTTGCCAACATTATGTTGGAACGGACGATGGACCTAACAAGATAACGCAGAAATGCTCCCTTGTGGGCGAAAGAAAACGGAACTGCAAATTGTATGTGCCAAAAGGGAGTCACCAGTTGTTATAAATATAGAGCTAGATTGTATAAGCGGGAGATTGAGATTGTGATTGTGAGCAGATTGTGAGCAGATTGTCAATAGATTGTCAATAGATTGTCAATAGATTGTGAACTGATCGTGAATAGATTGTTGTTAGAACCGAGAATTGAATGTAATGAGATAGAGAATTCAACGTAAATAAACGAAAATGCGAAAGATACAGTCCCTTGAATTAGGAACCAGCGTGTGCGAGCTTCCCTGAACGCGATTGTGGGCAAAGTTCGCGAAATATTCTCAGTTTACTAGCTTTCCTAAATTTGAAAGATTGCATGTAAAGCTGTGCGGCCTTCCACTGTGGCAATGCTCAAGCCCTATTGACTGCGAAACAAAAGTGAAATATTGCGACCTATGTCCCATTTGTAAAGGATGGTATGATGAGCTGGCAAAATTCCAACAAAAAGATGATAAAGGAAAGTTCAGAAGCATGTGGTACAAAAACGCCGACTCGTCAACCTGGCTGAATGATCCTTGAGGGGTTGCCAAGTTCTTTATGTCCAGCCTTGCGGACAACAAAATGAATGTCTGAACGTCCTTGGAAGGATGGAAAATATGACTTTTGCTCCAGACAGCCGTATCGATGACAACCTCTTTACAGACCTTCGTTCAAGTTAGAAACTCTTGGGCTCATGCACCTATAATCAAAAGTTAACCGAAGACTTTCTTAACGATGCTTTTGATATTCCTATTAAATTTCTTACCGACCTTGACATAGTTTTCAGTTGCAATTCAGTCAAGTAATGTGCGAAGGATATCAAAGAATTGAAAGGACTACGAAATCTCACACGAGTGTCTTAAATTAGTTCACTGTGCATTAAGTTAATTGCAAACATCAACATGATGAATGAAGAAATAAAGCTTCTACAAGAAGATCAGGTTCCAACAGTATAGAAATAAAAAAGTTTGGCGAAAAGCTTGAAAATTTAGTGAGCCACTTTGGGTAATTAATAAATTTTGACAACGTCCAAAAAACTGATCGACAGTCCCAAGTAAAGAGCCGCATTCCGGACAAACCACAAATATTCACTGGCCGTGACGCAAATAATATCCTCCTTGGTAGAGAAGAACTGTGGAATTGTCAGTGGGCTGGGTTTTGGCAAGCGTTCTTTAGCATTTGGAATTTCCCATCACTTAACCAGTGACTATAACATCGTCGTCATTTTCTCCTTCGTGTCACTGGCGTCGACTGTTCGTGAAGTGATGGCGCGTGTTTGTCATGACGGTTTGACGTTATTCCTGGAGACGATCCTGAGTCACTGTTGATGTTATTATGGACAAAATCGAGCAGCTGCTTGAAAGCATTATGAAATCTTAGTTTACTTAATTAGTGCTTAATTAACCAACGCAAAAATACAAATTAACACTTACAGATCCTGACCACGACAAGAACCAAATTTTATATATCTGGGTATAACACCGAGTACCATAAGTTAAAAGAGATAAAAATCTCGTGTTGAACTTTATACGACCGGCTCCAGTAATCGAAGTGACCTTAAAAATCTTTGTTTTCTCCATGCTTTATACTTAAGAAATAGAAAACATTTTCTGTGTTTCCACACGCGTGGGAGTTTGGGAGAACAAGAAATAATTAGTGGGGAAACGAGCCCGTAGGAGGAAAAATTTTTTCTATTTCTTTTATAATATAACTCAATAAAAAGATTTTGTACAAATATTATAACTCGATTCAATTACAAATTCTCATTACATCGCTTCGCTTGTCAAGTTCGGCGGGAAAAGTCCCGTGTTTCTATACAGTTATAGAAACACGCTTTTTGACCAATCAGCACGCGCGTACTATAAATGTTATATTATAATTGGTTATATAAAATTTGAGTCATAGGTTTTGTTACTATTAATAATGTTGTATTTTCTTTGATGTAGGAATTAAACGATTTCCTTTATTCGTTGGTTTTCCATGAAAAGCATGTAAATGGCAGTAAGACCCTTCTCAAAAGAAGAATTGAATTTCTTCAAATTTGCATCCATCGTTCACGATGAATTTCCAAAGATGTTACGTTCGACATTTGTGGCATTGTGGGACAGGAAGATTGCACCGTTGCCTGGTTACCAAGTTTGGGACGACTCACCCGCAGTTCGCACACTTCTTTTGACGCTCGAAGGCGGTAAAACTCCCATACCAACCAATAAATCGTTCAAGGATTGGGATTGCACAGCCCTGTTCCAGGCAACTATTTACTCCAAGACCTTTGGAGGCTCCACCAAGACGACACTTAGTGATCAATTCATAAGGGGAAAGAAACCCAGTACTTTCCATTCTTCGCTTACAAGTTTAACTAGTACTGGGAACCAGGATGAAATTATAACTTTAGCAATCGACCAGGTTCGACTGCTTAGAAACTGCTTATGTCACTCGCCTGAGTCAATCTTAAAAAAACATGATTTTGATTATTATGTTAAACTTGCTAAGGATGCTTTTGTCGCAACTGGATTTTCGACAGACCAAGTTGATCATATTGGTAATCTTAAGGAGAGCGACTTTCCAACTGAAAGGGTTAATGAGTTGAATCGAAAAATTAAGGCTGTCGTGCTGGAGAGCAAAAAATTTCTTGAAGAAAGGGTAGAAAAAGGAATAACGAAATTAACGGATGGTCAAGAAAGTGTTATACAAAAACTTGATGAAATTAATAGGAATGTCATTAGGAACCAAAATTCCAATGCAGGTATAAATATAACAATAGTAAATATGTTGATAGAAATTTCTCTTTTGATGTCGCAAGGTTATTCGTCGCTAAATATACCTATGTTTTAGTTGTCGAAATATACGTATTTCTATTTCGGGTTTTTTTTTCATTTTTTGTAAAAGTCTTTAACAATATGCCTGCAGTTTAAAATACAAAAATATGCATACAAAAATATGAGATATTTCGGTTCTACTCTACAATGACTTTTCTCTATTTTTTTCTTCTCTCGGAATTGTTCAGCAACTATGCAAGAAAATCGAGGGTTTGCAGCACTAGGCGCTCTGGGTCCCGCTGTGAACAATGATGAATGTATTATCACATTCAAAATTACAGCAGAAAAAGTGCGACTGGTTAAAGATATTGGACTCGGTACTGTTACTCTCATCGACATTTTCAATGCATGTACAAAAGCTCACCCGTCCGTTTTCCAAGACGCTCTTAAAAGAGGTTTCGGCGATGAAAAAGATGATCAGAAATTTGGGGAGATCAGCCAAGGATGTCTCCTTGTTCCACTGCACTGTCTTACAGATGAAAGATTTCTGGAGGTTTTGGATGATTTTGAATCTGGAAGGCTGAAAAAACGTTTACTTACAGAGTTTTCGCAAATTGGAGTTGAAATAGAAGGATTAGAGATTGAGATAAAGAACATGAAAGAAGTAAACAAAAGGAAGGAGAATATAAAAGGAAAGTACGTATATAAGATGTTCTTTACCTTTGTTTAATTGATGTCATTAACTATAGTATAAAGTAGAATGGCTTAGAAGTGAAATTAAGTTTGGACTGAAATTAACCTTAAATACTATTCGTATATGTAGACTAGTTAGGATCCACGAAAAAAATCCACGTTCTGTGGTCATAATATAAGCAGTGAGTTGCCAGGGTGAGAATGATTCGATATTACCTATTCTTTACTTTCTATTATTCAGTCCAGTACAAATTTTGAAAAATATCGACAAGATAAAATTTTGAATAGTATACGCAAATGTGAGCAATTCTAGACAATTGTGACATACACTAAATTCGCTGCTTGCTTTTTTTTATCGGACTGCCAGGATGCATTTCTCTAGCACAACTTCACGTTAGGCATCGAGTTGCCAGTGCGAGAATGATTCGTTCTTTACTTTTGTATTCAGATTGCAGGAATTCAGTGCAAAGTTCGTTAAATATCGACAAGGTATTGTCAATGTTCAAGGAACTGACAGACAGTCCCATCTAAAAAGCTGCATTCCTGACAAACCAGAACTATTTATTCGCCGTGACACTATAGTAAATCAAATAGTATCTTCCTTAGTCGATGATGCCTGTGGAATTGTTTCTATTGTTGGTGGACCAGGTTTTGGCAAGAGTACTGTTGCAATTGAAGTTTCCCATCACTTAATAAGCAAAGAGAGAGACATCGTCGTCATTTTCTCGTTTCTGTCACAAGCTTTCACTATTCCTGAAGTAATAACGCGTCTCTGTCATGACGTTGGCGTTATTCCTGGAGAAGATCCTAAATCATCGTTAATGTTTTGGTTGAAGAGTATTGAGGACAAAGTTGTCCTAGTCATGGACAACATTGAGCAGCTTCTTGAACGGCATGTAAAGCATAGCTTTCTTGAATTAGTGCGTACGCTTCGCAAAAATTCACAGCAACATATACAGATTTTAACAACGTCAAGAACAGAATTCTCAATTTCAGAAACGCAAACCAAATTTCAAATACGAGAGATGGATGAAACAACATGTATCGAGCTCTTAGAAAAGTGTTGTCCTGTTGAAGTCGAAAAAGCATTCTTGTCTCAATTAGCTGAGCTGTGCGGTTTTGTTCCACTCGCCTTGTGTATTGCAGGAACACTAATTGATGATCCTGATGACCTTTCAGAGTTGATACAGTGGTTAAAAGAGAAACCCATGGAAGCATTGAGGAATTCTGACCAGTGTGTTGAACGAGCCATCGAGTTCTCTTTTCAAAAGTTGTGCGATGAAGATCAGAAGGATTTTGTTTGTCTTTCGGTATTTCATGGGGACTTCCACAGAGAGTCTGCCGAAGAGGTGATGGAGAAAACTGGGGTGAAAACTCACCACTTCCTAAGAAATCTCGTTAATCGAAGTCTCTTACAGCGTAGAGGTGATAAGCGTTTCGTGATTCATTCGCTCATTCGGCGATTCTTGGCTGATTGTGACCGATTTCACGGTGAAAAGGCAAATGCAAGAAGCTTGATGGTAAGCCATTTTCTGAAGATGTGCCATGAGTTGACCAAGGTTTCTTATACACGTGACAGATTCACTAGCGCCAGGGAAACACTTAAAAAAGACATCCACAACGTCGAGGAAACGCTCAAAATATGTAGTCAAGATCCGGCAACCAATTCAAACACAATCGTCCTAGAGTCCTTGGCAAGTAGTGACATTTACATGTCTTCATACAGATTTTTTCACACCTTCAGCTGGGATCTTCTTCCAGAAGCAGTTTTGGGAAATTTCTTCGAATCTTGTACTAAACTAGCCAGAAAACAGGAACAAGTAGTTACTGAAATCCTTTTCCAATGTTTCCTAGCAGATCAAGAAGGTCGTAAATTTTCACGGGATTCTCCTGAATACACCAGTCAAATTGGGATACTCGAGGCAGCGTTTCATAAATATGAAATGGATTTGAAAGACGATAGATTCGTTTTTATGTTTTGTTACGAATTGATTACGCGATATCATTTCAACAGCACACAAAATAACCAACCAGCAGATCTTCCTTACAATAATCTTTCTTCTTTGCCTGAAAGCAAAGAGTTGAGTCTTGAAGAAAAGGTGGCGGAAGCATATATTTTAAAGAAGAGGGGAAATATTTGCAAATTGCAGGCCAATAAACTGTTCCGCACAGACGACAAAAAGTACGAGGAATACATGAACTCTGCAAAATCATTTTACAATGAAGCTCTATCTTTAGCCCAAAATGCCTTAGGCGATCACGAATTAACATGTTCTCTCCACAAACTTCTGGGAGATCTATATTTTAACATGGATAAGAGAGAAGAGGCACTCGAGTGTTATACCCATGCTATAAATCTACACAAGAAACTACAACTTGATTCTAATGAAAAGTTTGTGATGTTGCTCAAAAATTTAGGAGGATGCCTCTCGTTTAGTGGTCGCTTCGAAGAATCAATGGAAAAGCTAAGCGAAGCACGCGATATAGCCAACAAGATCACTGAGGAAAACGCCCATTTTAAAGCCCTGGTGTATTATGAGTTGGCAAAAACATGTAGTTCCTGGAAACCCGAATGTCAAAAAGCCGTGGAATATGCAGAAAAGGCAATGAAAATGCAAAAGTTGCGGGACCCGCGCAAACTAGAAGAATTGAGGGAGATTATTGAAAAGGCAGAGGTCGTAAAAAAATTCATCAACTCATTACGAGATATCGTCAACGTTGAAGAAACTGATCGGTTGTCTCAACTCAAAAGCCGCATACCTGACAAACCACAAACATTCATTGGCCGTGTCAGTGAAGTAAAGCAAATAATATCCTCCTTGGTGGAGAATGGCTGTGGAATTGTCTCTATTGTCGGTGGAGCAGGTTTTGGAAAAACCACTGTCGCAGTTGAAGTTTCTCATCACTTAAGCAATGACCATAATATTGCCGTCTTTTTCTCATCCCTGTCAAATGCTTCAAGTGTTGCTGACGTTAAACGACGTCTTTGTCGTGACGTGGGCGTTATTGCTGGAAAACGTCCTGACTCAACTTTAACTTTCTGGTTAAAGAGTGTTAAGAAGAAAGTTGTCCTTGTGATGGATGGCATCAAGCAAATGCCCAAAGGCGATTTTCAATCCGAGTTCACTGAATTAGTGCTTTCCCTCCGTAAACATTCACAGCAACATGTGCAGATCCTAACAACTTCAAGAATTCAATTTCCTGTTTCAGTAAACACGGTAAACTATCAAACAGAGAAGTTAGATGTGACATATAGTGTGGAACTTTTAAGAAAGTGTTGTCCTGATGTAAAAGTTGAAGATGCATACCTGTTTGAATTGGCAAAGCTGTGTGGTTTTGTTCCTCTCGCCTTGTGTATCGCAGGGACACTAATTCCAGATCTTGTTGATCCTTCAGAGTTGATACATTTGTTCAGAGAGAAACCCATGAAAGGATTGCGGAACCCCAACCAGTGTATTCAGCAAGCCATCTGGGCCTCTTTTCAGAATTTGAGAGATGAAGAGCGGAAGGCATTGGTTTGTCTTTCAGTATTTGTTGGAAATTTTCAGAGCAGCTCCGCAAAAGAGGTAGTTAATAAGAGTGGCGTGGAAGTCGAAAATTTATTAGAATGTCTCGTGAGACGAAGTTTGGTCCAGAAAATTGGTGATGGGCGCTACGTAATTCATTGGCCTATTAAAAGATTTTTAGCTGAACATGATGAATTTCAAGATGAAAGGAAAATGACACAAGAACTGATGGTGAAACATTTTCTAAAGCTGTGCCATTCGTTAACCATGGACGGTTACTTATATAATAGTTACACTAGCGCCAGAGAATCACTAAGGAAAGACATCCACAATATCGAGAAAACGTTAAAACTGTGCACCGAAGATGAGGCAAGAGTTCTGGGTCCAAATATCGCAGAGTTGGTGGCGAGCAGTGATCTTTATAATTCTTCTTGCAGGTTCTTTTGCGAGTTCAGCTGGGATCTTTTTCACCCCAATGTTTTAACGAAGTTCTTGGAATCTTGTGTTAAGCTGGCCCAAAGGCGAAAGCAACCGGCTATTGAGATGGCATTTGGATGTTTGGTAGCAGATCAATCAGGACATACATCGGGACGGAAAACTCGGGAATACACTCGCCTCGTGGACGTCATCGCTAAAGAGTCGCAGAAAAATGACGCGTTATGGAAAGAAGATAGGTCTTTATTTATCCTCTGTCATTATATTTTCTCCCTATTTGACTCTGATAAACCAACAAATGAGGCACCTCCTGATCTACCAGAGGATGATCTTCAACCATTGAATGAAGACAAATCTGCAAGTCCTATCGCGAAAGCTGAGGAAGCATATTTTCTGTTGGCGCGTGCTAATTTGAACAAGAAACGTGGTATTAAAGTATCCAAGGCTAAGAGTGCCAACGGAGATTCCTATGAATACTTTAAAAAAGCAGAAACACTTTACAACAAGGCGTTGGCGTTGGCTAAAGAGTTGTTAGGTGACCACGAATTCACATGCCGTCTGCACCTACAGTTAGGAGACCTCTATTTAGAAATGCACGATAACACAAAGGCAATAACGTGCTTTACCGATTACATAATTCGGCGCAAGAAGCTGGAACTGTATTTTAACGAAACCTTCGTGTATTTTCTCAAGAAATGTGGAATCTGTCTGGCTCATCTTCGTAATTTTAATGCATCCGTGACAACGTTAAAGGAGGCTCGTGACCTAGCTGGAGAGCAAACGCGTTGTAGAGCATTTTTAATTTATGAATTAGCAAAAACCTATAATATGTGGAAACCTGGCTGCTGTGAAGCGGTGGAATTTGCTAACGAAGCATTGGAAATGCAAGAATTACGGAAAAGCGAGAAAATGATAAAAACATTAGAGAGGATTCTTCAAATAACCGAAAAAAATACGGCGTCATTATTGGCGGATGGAAACAATTAGTGATAACATATAAGTACGATGAGAATCAAGTTGATGGTATCCCGGCGAATGCATTAGACTTGACCTTTTTAGTATATTTCTGATGTTCATGCCAATTCAGGACATATCGCAGTGCATTTTAGCCTGAATGAACAAGAGAAAACACTACACTTTATAGTAAACATTATATATTCAGTATGAAGAAATGCCTGGCCTGAATGAACAAGAGAAAACACTACACTATACAGGGTGTATCAGAAAAAACTAGAAGATTTTAAACTGTCCAGAAAACTATCATTTTATCAAAATATCTCAAAAATATATTTACGTCTAAGTATTTTAGCATCTCCTGTTTTATCTAACAGTAAAAACTATGAGAAATATTAACCTAAAAAAGCGGGAAAACGGTTTGTAAAAGCCTCATTTTTAACCGCTTGCGCAAAGAAAATGAGAGGTTCAAAATCCAAGTTCATTTAAAGAGATGAAAGTTTGGACCCTTTTGTGCAATGTATCAAAATTTCAGAAAATTTGATAAGTCCGCCGTGAAACGTTTCAAAATTGGACTTTTTCCGTTTACTCCGCTCTCGCGTAACCTTTTTTCATGCAAGAATGATTACATGCATGAGTGATGGTTCGAATGACGTACTTAAACATAACTAACAATGAATACTCTTGTTTCATTGTTTTATTTAACAAAGAGTTCTGTTAATTACACCTGGATAATGCAAAAGATGTCCTGTTTAGGAATTGCTAGCTTATTTTTCATATCAAACATTAAAAACAATGCCAAGGCCGCAGTTTGAACCACAAACAGCAAAGAGCTTTTTTGGTAACTGAATACCACCGTAGTCATGGGAGCGTAACAAGAGTGCTCGAAAGGTTTCGGGAGGAGTATCCTAACGTACGCTGTCCATCACATGGTACAGTTTACAACAATGTTGCTAAATACCGTACAAACGGGACAAGCTGTAATCTCAACCGGGGAAGACCAGGATGTCGAGGTCTCAAGAAAACATTGAAGCTGTGCGAAATGCGATTGAAAATCAGCAGCTAAATGGAGCGAGAATTAGCGCTCGGCGAAATGGTCTTGGTTTATCTTCGGCCACCTTTAATCGTATAACACGGCTGGACTTACGATTTCACCCATACCAGATGATACGACGACATCAACTGCTTGCAGGAGATTACCAGCGGCGAGAAAGGTTTTGCCAGTGGCTTATGAACAGACCAGCACGATTTCTTCAGGACGTACTCATTGGTGACGAAGCTGGATTTGCCTTAAATGCCTCTGTTAACACCCATAATATCAGAGAGTACTGCGCTCGTGGTGAACGACCGTTGCACTTTCAGTATGAGCGAAATGATGACCGTCACAAGGTTACTGTTTGGGTCGGATTGATTGGTAATGGATCTATCATTGGTCCTTTTTTCTTTCGCCACAGCTTAGACGGCGAAGAATACATGCAAATGATTAATGAGCAAGTCGTTCCAGCTGTAAGCGAAATACGCCGTTTAGCTCCCAACGATGATGGCAGGTTCCAGCGCCTTTGGTGGATACAAGACGGAGCACCACCTCATCGGAGACGCATTGTTTCCGAGCGCTTGGAACAATTATTTGGAAACCGATTTATTGCTTTAAATCGTGCGGTAGAATGGCCACCGCGATCTCCCGATTTGACTCCTTTGGATTTTTTCCTTTGGGGTTACCTAAAGTCGAAGGTTTATGTCACACCACCGGCAAACCTGGAAGAGTTTGAAGCAAGAATTCAACATGAGATGGATATCCTAAGACAGGACAGGCAAATGGTTCGGCGTGCTGTTTTTAGTATGATAAGTAGAGCAGAAGTTTTCGTGCAAAGAAATGGAGGACATGTTGAGAACTAACAACAAATTCTGTAAACTCTGCTCTTGTTTGCAATTGTGTACTGTTTGACGTTTTTGTGTAGTTTTTAACTAGTCTATTTTTAACAATAGCATTATTAGATACAACATCAATGTAAGGTATAACAATAGCATTGTAAGTACGTCATTCGAACCATCACTCATGCATGTAATCATTCTTGCATGAAAAATGGTTACGCGAGAGCGGAGTAAACGGAAAAAAGTCCAATTTTGAAGCGTTTCACGGCGGACCTAATGTTTATCAAATTTTCTGAAATTTTAGCTAATACATTGCACAAAAGGGTCCAAACTTGCATCTCTTTAAATGAACTTGGATTTTGAACCTCTCATTTTCTTTGCGCAAGCGGTTAAAAGTGAGGCTTTTACAAACCGTTTTCCCGCTTTTTTAGGTTAATTTTTCTGATAGTTTTTACTGTTAGATAAGCCAGGAGATGCTAAAATACTTAGACGTAAATATATTTTTGAGATATTTTGATAAAATGATAGTTTTCTGGACATTTTAAAATCTTCTAGTTTTTTCTGATACACCCTGTATAATAACTACAATGAAACACGCAATTTGATTGGTTCGTATGCGTGCAGTATGAGACAATCCTGCACGGAAAGTTTACAATGCCGCTTTGCGCAGGAAATTTGACCGTCGTTTCATTGTAGTTATTTTAAAAAGAGAACACTAAATGGTTTTCCGTGCAGGATTGCGTGATACTGCACTTGGGAAATTGCTCGACTTTTAGAAAGCGTGTTCTCGCAATTTCCCGCGTGCAGTATCACGCAATCCTGCACGGAAAACCATTTAGTGTTCCTTTATTTCATTATTTTTACATATTATTACGTATAGACAGGAAAGTATGCTGCAAAAATGACATCAGCGATGTGATTTTACGTTTATATTTTGTGCATGGAATGACAATTGCAAACTTTCCGATAGCTTAAACTGCGCTATGGCTTCTGCGCAACGGTTCTGCTTTTTTACAATAGGTAGGCTACGTGTTTAAAATTGCTGAAATTTAACATTTTCTTCTTTTTTTTTAACAGTAACTTAATTGGCGAACAAACGTAGTGTTAAAAAAATAGTGTTAAATATAGGCTGTATGTTCTTTAATCTGGATACTTTAAGAACTTTAGTGATTCAAAACGTAAATAAGCGTTATGATTACAGACTGTAAGTGTGAAACTGTCTGTATGTAATTTTCCTGTTTTGTTGTCTTATTAACTGTCTTTAATATTTAAACACACCCCTCATGGAAACCAGCCTAGAGTTGATGGGGCTGGCGTGTTTCTTGGTTTTAAATAAAGTTTTACCTACCTACCTACCTACCTACCTACCTACCCACCTTTATGTAAATATCCCCGTAAAGCCGATCTTTTCTTTGCATTTCGAACACTCTTTGCTAATTAACATCCCTCAAAATTATAATTGCATTCCAAGTTGCAAGGAAAATTGCATAGTGTAACACCACCTTAAATGGGCGGTTATGACAACATTAAATGGGCGGTATAGGCCGTTAACATTAGAAAACATTTTATGCTAGGCCTCTCGCGCGTGTTTCATTCGGTGACGTCACGGATTTTTAAAACCCGCGCAATGAGGCCTAGGGGCTAGGCTGGAATGCAGGGCGCGCTAAAGAGGACTAGTGACTAGTCTGGTGTGCATATAAATTTTTTTGGTTCCGGGTAGTCGATAAATGAAATTTAGCTGCATACCACAATAAAATGTCTTTAGGATAGTGAGTCATCCTATTTTGATGATTTCTTTGTATTCCATTATGTGATTTAAATCATTTTTACGTTTTACAATTGTTACAAATTAAGTTATTACAAATTAAGAAGGCTTATTTCGTTATTTGGAATGGCTTGGCCCACAAAGCTTGGGCTCTCGTTCAAAATGCAACGTATTTGGTGAGTATTTGGCATAATAGCCACTACACTATATATCGACTGATACTAGCTAAAATGTGGTTTATTAAGAACTCTTGAGACATGTTTTGTTATCTTAAATTAATAATTCGTTGCCTCCATTTGTTCATCCATTGCCTTAATGTGTTCCAGACATGCTGTTTATAGTACAGCGACAAGGCCAGACCGTATTCTTTTCCTTGGCTTAGGCTAGTACTATATAATCTTCATTTTAAGAATCACATAATTATTGACAGTAGAATCTCGTTATACACTCTACTATATTACAGCGTCCGACGTAGTGTATAGCCTCAGCTAACTGAGCCTAAAATATCCTAGTTATAAACGGATTCTTTGTAGTTTAATATCCTGTCGCGTAGTTGCTAGTCGTTGAATACAAAATTAAAAATGTGCCATTGCCATTGGTATAGCAGAGCGACTGCATACATAATTCGTACAGTTTACTATCCAATTCTATGTTAATCGCTTTGTCTCGTTTTATAATGCCATGCATTTTGTGCTTGAATCTACGGTTTCTGTATTCTAAGAACCATTGTTTTGTCTTTGATGATGATGATGTAAGCGACTATAAGCTAGTTTATATATGCAGATGCATAATGTCATGCATTCCAACCGTAAGTCCTAATGACATTCTGTCATTCATGTCTCTTCCTGAGCCTGAGAGCAATTTGGTACAAACAAATACGCACATATAGTAATATCATCAATCAAGTTCTTAAAACTTTGCCCAACGTTAGGGTATTACCTTATGCTAATGCAGTGTAAGGTTATTAAAACAATATTAATATAGCTACTTAAAAAGGTTTTGTATGCCATCTGCATGGCAATTTCTTACAAAGTTAATGGTATAACCGCGACTATATAACAGTATAACTGTTAACGGTAGAACTGTTCTCGCCGTGTTACATAATAAATCAGTGAAAAGTGGTCTGACACAATATATAATACAATGTACAAAAACTATGTACAGTTTTGCAATACATGCAAAATACAAACTGAGCACTAAAATATATCACTGTTTGCCTTACGCTGTGTTTTGGATCGATACGATGATTCTAGTCTACGATTGCTTAGCACCTGTTCGGTTCAACAAATTAAACTTGAAATATATTCGTTTACCACACCTTATACCATTTCCTGTCCCTATCGAAACTAATGCATCAAGTTTAACTTGTGCATGAGCTTCAATTTTTGGAATTTGGAAACATTCAATCGTCACGGTCAATCGTCAATCCGTCTATGAACATGGCAAATGACATGCAGTTGTAATGACAGCGTACCACAAGTATCAACTAAAATTCGTCATCGTCCTATATACCAATTTATAATTAACATGCTGGGCCCGGTTGTATCAAGCCATTTTACCTTGAACGGTGCTCAGTTAAAAATTAAATAACACCCTTACGTCCATAGCTATTGCTCTCTTGAATGAGTTAGCTTGAATATTATGCACTGAATGTGTAGTTGTATAAAACAGTATCGTTCTATTAAAGTTAAGACATTTAGTTTGTTTGTTGACTAAAACGATAGATTCGCTTTCTATTTTAATTGAGCTTCCAAGGGAACATTTAATAGTGTTTGTGTCTTGAAGCCCGAAATCTTGAATAGGTTAAAACAAATGAAATCGGTAAAGACAATAAAATTGAAAATATTTTGAAAATTGAAACGAGGGACGCTTGACCTGCATTTACTAAAGCAGAAAGAGTATTTGGAAATCACAGAGATCAGGTACGATTCCTGGCAGGCCGGACTTCTGTATAAGGCAGGCGCTACATCCAACCTTTGTACGACCATAGGATAGAACCTTGACATTTTTTTACAAAAACGCAAATAAATTTATATTTCGTCACTTCTAATGACACTGTCTTTTCTTTGATGTAGGAATTATAACGATTTTCTTTATCCTTCGGTTTTCACTGAAATAGCATCTAAATGGCAGTAAGACCCTTCTCCAAAGAAGAATTAAATTTCCTCAAATTTACATCCATCGTTCACGATGAATTTCCAAAGATGTTGCGTTCGACATTTGTGGCATTGTGGGACAGGAAGATTGCACCACTGCCTGGTTACCAACTTTGGGACGACACACCCGCAGTCCGCACACTTCTTTTGACACGCGAAGGCGGTACAACTGCCATACCAGTCAATAAATCGTTCGAAGATTGGGATTGTACAGCACTGTTTAAGGCAACTATTTACTCAAAGACTTTTGGAATCCCCACAAGAAAACCCATCAAGACACTCAATTATCAGTTCATAAAGGGAAAGAAACCCAATCCATTTCATGCCTCGCTGACAAGTCCAGCTGGAAACTGGGTTGAAACTATAGCATTGGCAATCGACCAAGTTCGACTGCTTAGAAACGAGCTATGTCACTCGCCCAAGCTCACCATGACAAAGCCTGATTTCGATTACTATGTTCAACTTACTAAGGATGCTTTTACTGCAGTTGGATTCCCAACAGATCAAATTGATTATATTGCTAGTCTTAAGGAGTCCGACTTTCCAACTGAAAGAGTTTGTGAGTTAAAGAGAGAAGTTAGATGTATTGAGCTGGAGTACCGCAACTTTCTTGTCATTCTTGATGAAAAGTTAACAACAACGTTGACTGATTTGTGTGAAATCCAAACTCTTCAATATGATTGTCTTCGTGAAATTCAGAAAAATGTAATGAATAACCAGACTACTAAAACAGGTGAATTATATGAGAAGTATAAATTTATATGGAAGTTTCTGTTTAAGTCTCAAGACTTGCTAACTAAAGCTTCTCGTGGCTTAATATGTTATTGGTTTTAAACATTTTATTTCATTAATTGCTGGCTATGTGTAACCTACTCGCAGGCTAATTTTTAATTATAAAATAAAACCTGCAATATACATTTTGCAGTACTAACTACGTTATGTTACTGCCACGTTGCAATGACGGAGCTCAAGTTATTCTATATAAACATGATTGTCCGTTAAATTTTTCCTTCCGTAGAATATTCAGCAATTGGGGATGAAAATTGTGGATTCTCAGCAATCGGTGGTCTACATCCCAGTGTGAGCAGTGATGGAGGTATTCTATATAACAATGATTTTGATTTAAATTTTTTCCGTAGAATGTTCAGTATTTGTAGGAAAATCGTGAATTCGCAGTATCTACTTATCGTCCTCTTTATTTATTCGCCCGAACTGATCGGGAGCGTCTCCACTTTTTTGCGGCGGATTTTTTCGCAAACCAATCACATCGCCGGATTTCAGATATAGCTTCGCGTCGTGCGAATAAATTCGCCTGTAGTGGAAAACGGGCTTTACGATGTGAACAGTGATGGAGGTATTATCGTATTCTGTGTTTCGGCTGAAATGGCGCGAGTGCAGCCTCGTACCCAGGCGCTTTAATAGTAAAATATATAACGTTGCACTCAGGTATTGTATAGATGTCAGCTGAAAAAAGCAAGCGCACAAGGGTGCTTGGGGTGGTTTTGTTTAGCGAGGAAGCTTCCTTTGCCAAAACCACCCCAAGCACCCCCGCGTGCTCGTGTTTCTTTCAGCTAACCTTTGCAATAACTGTATGCAACATTTTTTCACTATTAAAGCGCCTGGGTACGAGGCTGGCGCGAGTACTTAACTAACGGTGGCCTTTTTTACATCCACTCTCTACTATGATTTTAAAGTTGGTAAACAATTGACAAATTTTGTAAACAATTTTTCAAGAAATTGAATATAAGCACGTCTTACCATTTAATGTTTTCCCCAGAATGTTCATCAGTTGGGCAGAAAAATTGGGAACATGGTGCTCTGGTTCCTGATGTGAGCAGTGATGGAGGTGACATCGTATTCCGTATTTCAGCGAAAATGGCGCGAAAGGATAAAGATAAGGTTTTAGATACTACTACTCTTGTTGAAATTTTGTGTTCATGTGAAAAGACTCAACCGTCAATTTTCCACGAGGCTCTCAAAAAGGGCTTTGGCGATAAAAGGAATGACCAAAAGTTTGGAGATGTCAAACCAACGTGTCTTCTTGTTCCACTGCATTGTCTTACGGATGAAAGATTTTTGGAGGTTTTGGATGATTTTGAATCCGGAAGGCTGAAAGAACGTTTGCTGGAGGAATTTTCGCAGATTGGAGATCGAATAGAAATAGCAGAAATCGCGTTAATGAGAATGGAAGAAGTAAACGAAAAAAAGGAGGCTATAAAAAGAAAAAAGTATGTAAAGTCTTTCACTCATTTGAACAATTAAACGTTGTATAGTCTCCTTCGGGTAGTTTCCGATTTTACCGTTTCAGTCTTTTAGGTTTTATATCACTGTGTAATCAAAATTATGAATCCATCAAAAACCAGACCAACTCTGTTGCCTTCACGAGAAAAAACCGGCTGGTTGAAAATTCTCTTAAGCAAGTTTGTCGAGAAGTGTCAAATATATTTATAGAAAACAACTAATTTAGATGATGATTGGTTTATTTTGGCCAAATCATCGGAGACGGGGTTTTTTTCTGTTTTCCAATTCTGTTGGATACAGGCAACTGTTGAATACTTTACTCAACATGGAATTACGAAAAAAAGATACGAAAAAATAAATTTCCTATCTAATGTACATGCCTTACTTTAAGTATAACCCCCGGAGGTCCGCAACCGCCGTTTCAGCATTAGTCAGGAGTGATTTCGTATGTGACAATGATGATTTTTTACAATGTAGATTGCAGCAATCGATTGCCCGTTTAAAAAAAAAGTTGGAAACATTACACGATGTACATCAAGCGTTTTCAGAGGTAGTATTCAAGGATTGTGCTAGAAACAAGTCACGCTTCTGTATACTTCCTTCCTTTCCGTAAGAACATGCAAAGGAACAATTAAGAAACACCTGGTGCTTTATACAGCAATTAATGGATAGCCAGCCGGGTTATAAGGTTGTTAGGGGCCACAGGCCTTAAATGACAACGGCTGCATTCTACTTTTTTGGAAAATTTCGGCTTTCCCAGTACTTATTTCAAAGATTCCGGCAAGGTTTCCTTTTCAAAATGAAATAATTCTTCCTTAACAGGGCACTGATGTGTATGTCAATAGTACTCGCAGCTTGACATCTCTGGAAGATGAAAGCGAAAGGCAAATGAGTCTTCTTCAACGAAGTATTGGTTTTCGTCATGAAAGAGAAGAAATCACGCCCAAAAGAATGTCCTTAAAACATCGTAGTAAAATTCAAAAGTTGAAAACATTGAGCGAATTAGAGAAGGTAATAGTACAGAGTGTACCAGTTAAATGTTAAATCCGGTGTGAAACCTGTTATTGTATCGAGTTGTTGTGTTGTTGATGGTCGTAATGCGTCAATCTTGAGGTCTTATTAGTTATCATTCACCGAAGGCGTTAAACGAACGTAAATTCAGTTATGTAAATTTCTAACGTTTGAAGTTAAATTCTGATTGGCAGCATTTGTAACATATGTTAATGTTCATACGCACATATCGTTTATACTTTATACTGTAGAATGTGCAAATTCTGAAGAATTTATTGTGTTTCAATTCGCTAATATCAATTTCGGATCGAACGTAGCTATGTCGGTACCTGTACACGCCTAATTTATAGATCATTAGATTTGCTAACTTATCGTGTCGTAGATGTCAATTAAGTTGTTCATAATCGTGCAGAGTTTAAAAATATGAAACGTTTCTAGGCACAGCCACAAGAGTCACAAGGGAATAACATTAGTTATTTGTGCGGCCCCGACAATGTAATAAAGAGCAATAAAACTTTCTGGCGATCCTTAAAAAACTTGTTTTATACCTTGACCCCCTGTGAAATATCGATTTGTTATTGCATATTGACATGTACAGTCTAGTAATATAATTTGATTCACGATCAGATTTAAGAATTCCGAAATATTCAGTACTTCCGGAAATAGAAATATTTTTGTAATATATTCAAGCAAGTACTATGATTTAAAAGTGGGATACATTCGCACAAAGCTACATGCACGACGATCTTAGAAAGTTAGCGAGTAAGCTATAATTATACCGTTTTCCCGAGTTGTGAAATATAAAATTTGTGACATGCCACAGGTCAGAGTTATAACATCTCATGCAAGCAAATTCCATGTTCGCGTTCCGAACGTAAGCAAGCGAGCGTTCAGTTCTCCATGCAACCTGGCAACTTTCGTGCGAATAAATTAGGCCGAACGTTATTTAACGTTTGTCCAATAAGAGCTTGCTATTCTCTGGATTCAGCGCTGTTAGCCAATGGGAAACTGTTTTTTAAAGATTATTTCGTTCAGTAATAACGTTTAACGCCTTCGGTGAATGTTGACTATTATAAGGCTATGGGTAAGTTTCGTTTTGGAAATTTATGTAAGTGCATTGTTACGCTGTGCATGTGATGCGGCACTTTGACAGTTAATAAGGCGAATAACAACTGTACTCTTCCTTGTTCTTTTTTAAAGCGTAGCTAAATGCGTATTGGGTAGTTTTGTATTTTAGAGCACGCATGTTGTAAGTTTGATAGTAACTAAAAATTAACAGTAGCTATATGACAACTATTTGAAGTTATAATACTCGTCATCGCGAGAAAGGCCAATTGGAGGTTTTGCATGCATGTATTCCTAGTAATGACTTATTTCAGCAACTATGTTCCATCCCTGTGCTAATTTTGATCATATACTATATTTTCGTAGGCCGAAATACCGATGCAGGCTTTTGTTATTAGGAGGGAACTAATAATAGGCCAGGGTGGTTACGGCACAAATGTTTATGTTGGTATCATGGAGGATGGAAGTGAAGCTGCTGTTAAGAGGATGATACGAGGTGTATCCATGGACACAGCTGAAAACGAAATGAAAATCTTGCGTCTTATTAAAACAGAAAACTCTCCATTTATAGTGAACTATCGACATTTTTACTCTGACATGACCTTCTCATATCTTGTTTTTGATCTCTATGAAGAAAACTTGAAGGAATATGTTCAATTACAAACTATTGAATATCTACAAAAGCATGGCCCACGCATGATAAATGAAGTTCTATCCGGACTTGAATTCCTTCACAAAAAAGGAATTTTGCATAGAGATTTGAAACCATCAAACATCCTGGTTGATATCGAAGGTCACATGAAATTGGCAGACTTTGGGATAAGCTGGGTTATGGCGGACGATGAATCAGAAGTTGCAACAGAAGTTAAAGGTACTGCGGGATGGTTGGCGGCAGAAGTAATTAACGCGATAGGCAGTGAAGTGTGTGTTATCGGTCGGAAATCGGATATTCAAGTTGTGGGTATGACTGCCTTCTTTATCTTAACCCGCGGTGAACATCCTTTTGGTTTGCGGCTTGAACGAATGACTAATATTTCAAAAGGACATCCTGTCAATTTGGAGAGACTTACTGATTGTAAAGCTCGAACGTTTGTGTCGTGGCTGATTAATCACAGGATTGAGGAAAGACCTTATGCTCACGAGGCGCTGAAAGATCCTTTTTTAAATAATGCCGCTTAACTATGCTATTTCGAACGACGAAGATGCACCAAACATTGCGAGGAATTATCGCAAATATTTTCCTATTATGAAGGTCGGGCTACCTGAAAAATATTTTGTGGACTTTGGTATCTTTTTCATAATTATAACAACAATATAACAACAGTATATTTTGTTTTATCTTAGGGCCTCCACAGACTAGGGATTTAGTTGTCAACTAAAAGTTATCGACAACTAAATAAGTCCGATAAAGGATTCCATACATGCACTGGCGCTCAAATTCTGATTTAGCAACCGAAATAGCGCGGAGATTAAAAGTAGTCGACAACTATAACAAAAGTTTTCACACACTAGAAAAACGCAAAAAAATGAGGCCCTCGAAAAGGGAAACTGCTTAGTTGTCGACAACTAATAATTTAGAGTTTAGCTGCCGACAACTTGCGCGACCGACTACGTTTTCTAGTTGTCGATAACTTTTAGTTGTCGATCACAAATAGTTGTCGATAACTAAATCCCTAGTCTGTGGGGCCCTTAAATTGTGTATACATGTAACTCAGTCTGATTAATCTGTTTTTGTAACCACGAGCAAATATAGTATTGAACTTTTAAAAAAGTATTGTTCTGGTTAAAAAGTTGAGGAATGCATTTTTTAGCTTTATTTTTAACCTTTTAGCTTCGATTTTATTGTGAATTTCACAATCTGAATAATTTAAATCATTGTAAATTTTATAGTAATCACCTTCTTAAAAAACTTTATTGTAAATGCATGGTAGATGCATGGTATGGTAATTAATTTTTACATAAAATACAATTGCAAATCTGGCTTAAAAGGTAACTTACAATTACCTATACTTGAGGTTACATTTTTTTACAATAGCTAAACTAGATTTCACATTACACAATACATCTTACAATGGACCTTTTCGGTAATTACGTCACAACATTATCGCTTTAAATTTCGAACCACCTTAAATGAGATGGATTTCAAGTTTTACTCACAAGCCACGTGGAAAGATACAAAACATCCTTCTTCAACACATGCATGAAAAAAATTTTGACAAATAAGCATGGGAGTACGACATAACGCGAGAACGAGGCAATTCTATGTCAAAAACACCAAGAGAACTGATTGTTAGATTAATAAATTCAACGGATTTCAAATGCTTCGACCTATTTGCTTCGAGACTAACTCATCGAGTGGACCAATACGTCTCCCGATTCCCAGACCCTGGGGCGATAGCAGTGGATGCTTTTCTCCAGGATTGGAGCAAGTAGAGGAGTCTCATCCACCCCCCGGTAAACTTTCTTCTTCGAGTTGCATGCAAAATTCGGGACTACAAGGCGACAGTGCTGGTGATAGAACCCAACTGGCCTCATCAACCGTGGTTTCCACAGCTTGTTCAGATGTTGGTCGACTACCCGTTACGACTCCCAACCACCAAGTCATTACTTTAGCTCCCATTTGATCTGAAGGCTCACCATCCACTGTGGGCATCATTCAACCTGACAGTCTGGTCAGTAACCGGGGACTGACGTTTTACAACAACAGGCTTTTCACAAGATGTTGTCGAGATTCTCCTCTCGTCATGGAGTGAGTCCACTCGGAAGCGATATGCAGGGCCTTGGAGGGCTTGGTCAGACTGGTGCACAGAGCGTGGGTGGTGTCCCCTTTCAGCACCTGTAACAGCAGTACTAGCATTCCTAGCTGAGCTCTTGAAAGAAAGAGATCTGGAGTATTGAACAATCGCAGTGTATAAAGCTGCTATTTCACAGACGCATGACCCGGTTGGTTCAGAATCGTTGGGCACCCTGCCAGTTGTATCTCGTTTCATGAAGGGGGTTTTCAGGGCAAAACCTCTAAAACCGAAGTATTGTTCTTCATGGAATGTTTCGACAGTGCTAGACTTCCTGAGAACTCAGGAACCCCTTGAAGAAATCTCCCTAAAGATGTTTACCTTTAAGGTTACGGCCCTTATTGGCCCTCACTACTGCGGCTAGGGCCCATGAACTGGCAGCCCTTGATCTCGACGTTGCCTTAATGAAGGAAGACGCCTGGGAATTCACAATTCCGGATCACGTTAAAAACTCTAGACCAGGTCATCCACAGAGAAAATTATATCTACCAGTTTTTCCTCAGGACACCTCTATTTGCGTTGTGAGAGCTTATGAAAGTTTATGTTGAGCGTACTTCAATGATTAAAGGCTCAAAAGCTCTTGGTGTCGTTCATCGTCCCACACGGTTCTGTTTCGAGTCAGACAGTGTCACGTTGGCTTAGGAAAACAACCCACCTTGCTGGTGTTCCTTTGCAATATACCGGACATTCGACAAGAGGTGCCTCTACATCCACCGCTGCAACAGCTGGTCTGTCTTTGGATCTTATCATTGAAGCAGATGATTGGAGTTCTGCTAGGACATTTGAGAGGCATTACAAACGCCTTGATCGCTCGGTTTTCGCAAAGGCTGTCCTGAACAATAATTAGGAACTGCCTAACATAGTTAATAGATAATGTAACTTCGTTATGTTGAGAATAATCACTTGGTTACCTCCTTATCGCTGAGTATCTGGTTTCTTCAGTCCAGTAGCTATCAAAAGTCTGCACTAGTATTGTGAGTATCAGTCGAGAAGGAGTGAAGGAGAAATGAAATTTCCCCGAAAGGTTAGGTACTTACCTGACGGGGAGATGTAGTTCTC